ACCCACTTTGATGCATTTTTCAAATTTTGCCTTGGGGCGGAGTTATCTTTTCACAGGGGGGTAAGATACACTTTAAGTCATTTTAGAAAAAAGAGTGTTTCTCTTGTAAGCCTTCCAAACAAGCCATGATCTTTAAATTAAAACCTAACTGAAGCCAGTAGCCTCTGCCTTATGCTACGTTCACACCAAATGTGTTTTGAGCAGAAAAACGAACACAACGCCTCCAGTTGGAGGCACTATGTTCAGACCAGGACACAGAGCAGACGCGCGTCTGAAGGGGGAGGAGCATCTTGGTTTTTTTCCGGTCTGTCCTCAGCGGGTGAAATGAAGATAAAATAAAGAAAATGGCTTTGCTTCATTTACTAAAGAGCAAGCGAATGTTGAGCAAAGCAGAAAATTAGCTCACCAGATGATTTAGAGACAGTTTGTTTGTTTAGTTTCGCCACTCCAGAAGCTACGAGCTGACGGCCTTTTTTTTGTCCCAAGCAGCTGACCCACATCGGTACTGATATATCCTGCCAGAAAATCCAACTGCAGACGGTCGATTTCCGCTAAAGATCTCCTGTCAGTCTGTTTCAGTTTAGTGGTCAACATTAAGGAAACGGTYATGTGGAAAAATGAGTCTGACTGGTTGTCAAGACATATCGAACGGCGAAAAGTTCAGATCTTTGAACTCGGGCAGCTGCTGCTTACGCAGCACCACATGCACGGAAAATGCTCTACCACCCCTTCCATAGTCCTTGCACGCCACGCAAAACGGACGTGACGTGACGCACGACCCCTAGAGGCACGTCCGCCATAGACTTYGCATGTAAACTGGCTGCTCCTGTAGCTCAAAACACGTTTGGTGTAAATCCACCATTAGACAAACTGTTGCTTCTTTAAGGTCACTGCCCRTTTCTTCCCACCTTGGTGTTTTATTAACACACATTTGTCCGTTCCARAGCAGCAAACTGATCACACTTTTCTCTAATGGAGCTGGTTCTACTGATGATTTGTTAATCTCCTGCAGCATGGCGTTTCACTCCCAGCTTTAAATGTTATTTTTGTTCCCTAGAGGTTTAATTTGTACCATTTTAGAAATGGATACAGACCAGATCAGTTTTATTATTCATGACAGGTAAAGCTTTGAAACTGAAAGAGAGTAGAGTTTTTTAACCATGAGTGTATCTTGTGAAATGTTGATTACATTTGTTTTAAAAAGACAAAGGTGCTGCTACTTGCCTTTGCAGGACAATAACAGAGTGCTGCAGAAAAGAAAGCAAAACAGAAACCCACAGATAACCATCAAACTATCACACTGTCATAGCCTTACGGGTCAAACTTGTTATTCTCCAGGTGCTGCTCCTCGTTTGCTAGCTTACAGTCGGCCATTTTGTTTTTAAACACGGCCATGTTGGCCCTGTTCTTCTCCACCAGAGCTGTGTTCTTATTGAACATTTTGTACTGAGCTCCAGGATTAAGAAAGGCCCTCTTTTCCATCATAGTGCCTAGCGGCCCCCCCAGTAAGCTCCCATTGTTGGGACCTTCTTCATCAATCACAGCATTGCGGTTGTTCACTGTCTCTAAATCATTCTTTACTGATCTGGAGATGGCTGCGAGCTTCCTGCCTTGGTGCAGCTGACGCAGAATGTGGACACTGGCACACACCAGCAGCGTCAGAGTCACCAAACCCAGGATGATAGCTGCAACCAGTGCAGGAGAGCCACCGTCCACTGGTGGAGGTTTAGGTGTTGAACCAGTGAAGGGGTATTCGCAGTGTGCACCCATGAAACCTGGCGGACACCGGCACACAGGGCCAGTGAAGTGAGTGTAACATGTGCCACCATTGTTGCAAGGAACGGAGCTGCAGGGGCTGCTGYGTACAGAGCAGTCCTTGCCGGTGAAGCCCAGAGTGCATGTGCAGATGAAGTCATTGATGCCATCCATGCAGGTGCCAGCATTGTGACAGGGGTTGCTGGCGCAGTCGTCAATGTTGGTCTCACATCGAGCACCAGTGAAACCTGGCTGACAGTAGCACATGACTTGTTTCCCAAGATCCAGACACTGGACCCCTGCAAAGGGGAGGAGACAGGTGTTTGTTTGGATTATTCACCTTGAAGACAAACCAAGGACACCAGACGTCTAAAGAATGTATTTAAATGCTGATGTAAGGTGAAATAATAGAAAGCAGCTATTGTTGCATTTTTCCTAATCCTTTTGATTGTTCGAAAATGAAATGATGATAGGAGAACAGCAACTAAGTTGTGTCTGTAGGAGTAAAGATACTCTTACAGATATCCTATGATAAAGAAAGTTTATCATTTATTTAATAAAAAAAGTCAATTAGTTTGTTTAAATCTCCACATATTACATCATTATTAATAAATATTACATGGGAAATGGTGATTATAATCTTTTTTACTGAAGCTTTTACAGATGATGAGATCAAATTTGGTGTGAGAGTAACAGACACATTCAGTAATCCTGCAATTACATCACATATTTTTGTTAGACTGTGGAATGTAATCCAGTGGGCAAAATGTATCTGAGACTTTAACTCAGTGCTTTGAAAGTCCTTTGAAAAGAGAAATCTTGTGGAAAATTTAAATGTGACAAAGTATAAACAATTAAGTCTTAAAGCATGAATATATCAGTCATTAGAGGGTTATTAAAGTTGAACTGTGTGAGGACATTTACAGGAGGCTAGGATGGGGGCATTTCAGGGTCCAACCACAGAATCACAACAGTTTCACTTTGTTTAGTTACCTTTCCTTCTGCTTTGCAGGCTTTGACTTGAAGCTGAAGCAAACTGTCATTAAAAAGTAAGTAATTTTGTTTGGTCCATTAGGCTTTTGTAATAAAAATCCATCTATCTTGGATGGACCCGTGACTTCTCACTGACTGCTMAGAATGATTTCAATGACACAGTTTTGTTAGGAGGAAATGTTGCAACATTTTGTTTTCAGCAGATATGCTGATTGTACATCATGCAAACTACACTGGTTTTTATAACACCAGAACTGTTACAAATAAAACACAGTTACTAACACAGACTAAATCTAAACACAATCAACAAGTAAACACAAGTGAGGCAGACTATTTATGAATCAACTGTTAAAGAATGACAAGAGATTTTCCTTCAGGTAGAAAACATCATCATATGTCTTCCTTTTGGTATTGCTGAAGGTGTTGTTGTTGTTTTTTTTTTTTGAAGAAAATGGTTTTGAGGCCATTCTGCAGTTTAGTGAAACTCTCAAACAGCTCCATATTTGGTGATGTGCAGCTATTGGTTTTCAACAATGCAAACAAGGCACAGCTGGGGCCATCAGGCTGCAGATCCTTATCTCCTTGTTTTTCTTTGTCAGGCTCACTGAGAAGATGGAATGACTGCAGTTCCAAGATAAGAGATAAGCAGGAAGCCATTTTGTGCAACCTAATGAGGTCCTGAGGGAGGAACAAGATCCTGGCAAGCCTCTTTTAGACCACTGCATTGAGTTACTCAAGAAAATACAAGGTCATGTAAATCAAATGCTAACAAAGATTGTGGAAAAGCATTTGAATATTTGGAGAAAACACTGAACTTGTAAAAAGCACCCATATGAGACTTCTAACAAAGACCCCAAGGTGTTCCCAGGCCAGCTGAGAAACATAGTCCCTCCAGVGTGTCCTGGGTCTTCCTCTGGGTCTCCTCCCAGTGGGAMGTGTCCAGAACACCTCACCAGGGAGGAGTCCAGGAGGCATCCTAACCAGATGAACCACCTCAACGGGCTCCACTGAACGTGGAGGAGCAGCGGCTCTACTCTGAGTCCCTCCTGGATGACTGAACTTCTCAGCCTATCTCTAAGGGAGAGCCCAGACACCCTGCAGAGGAAACTCATTTCAGCTGCTTGGATCTGTGATCTCCTTCTTTCAGTCACTACCCAAAGCTCCTGACCATAGATGAGGGTAGGAACGTAGACCCACAGGTAAACTGAGAGCTTCACCTTCTGGCTCAGCTCTCTCTTCACCACAACAGACCAGTACAACGCTCGCATCACTGCAGATGCAGCACCAATCCACCTGTTGATCTCCTGCTCCATTCTTCCCTCATTCATGAACAAGACCCTGAGATACTTAAACTCATCCACTTGGGGMAGAACCTCCTCCCCGACCCAGAGAAGGCACCCTACCCTTTTCCAGCTCAAGACCATGGTCTGGGATTTGGAGGCACTGATCCTCATCCCGGCCTCTTCACAGTCGGCTGTGAACTGCTCCAGTGAGAGCTAGAGATAAGGATCTGATGAAGCCAGTAGGACCATATCATCCACAAAAAGCAGAGATGTGATCCTAAGGTCACCGAAAAGGATCCCCTCACCACCTTGGCTGCTCCTAGAAATTCTGTCCATAAAAGTTATGAACAGAATCAGTGACAAAGGACAACCTTGGTGGAGTCCAACTATCACTGGAAATGGAAGAACTTATTGTCGGCAATGTGGACCACACTCTGACATCAGTCCTACAGGGACCTAACAGCCTGTATCAATGGGCCTGTTACCCCTTACTCTTGGARCACCCCCACAGGACTTCTCCAAGTCAACAAAACACATGTAAACTGGTTGAGTGAACACACACATTTACATATTTTAGGTCTAAAGAAAAGAAAAACACAAGCCAAAAAATATACTTATGCTCTRTACTGGGAAAAGGAGAACCCTCAAGGAATTCTAAAACTTCAGGGAAGGTCCAATAACCGACCGACCGAACGACCGACCGACCGACCRTCCGTCCGTCCTCTTTACATGTTCTTCTATTCTGGATCACAGGAATCACTGAAACCCATGTCCAGCAATCTGCGTGTAAAAGGCAAGGGACGCCCTAGACAGGTCATTGGAGTTAATAATCAGCACAAATGAAATAGGACACTGTTACACTAATCTTTTTAAATTTTTTAAAATTAATTTTTTYTAATTTAGCTAATTTTATGCAAATGGTAAATGGGTTGTACTTATATAGTGCATTTCTATCCAACCATGATACACAAAGCTCTTTACAATCGTGTCTAAATTTACCCACTCAGCACTCTACAGTCACTCAGCACTCTACAGTCACTCAGCAGTCTACAGTCACAAAGCACTCTACAGTCACACAGCACTCTACAGTCAAACAGCACTCTGCGGACACACTACAGTCACACTGCACTCTACAGTCACAGACCACTCTACAGTCACAGAGCACTCTGCAGTCACACTACATTCACACTGCACTCTACAGTCACAGAGCACTCTACAGTCACAGAGCACTCTGCAGTCACACTACAGTCACACTGCACTCTACAGTCACACTGCACTCTACAGTCACAGAGCACTCTACAGTCACAGAGCACTCTGCAGTCACACTACAGTCAAACTGCACTCTACAGTCACTCAGAACTCTGGAGTCACTCAGCACTCGGCAGTCACACTACAGTCATACTGCACTCTACAGTCACTCAGAACTCTACAGTCCCACTGCACTCTACAGTCACTCAACAGTCACACAGCACTCTGCAGTCACACTACAGTCACACTGCACTCTACAGTCACAGAGCACTCTACAGTCACAGAGCACTCTGCAGTCACACTACAGTCATACTGCACTCTACAGTCACTCAGAACTCTACAGTCACACAGCACTCTACAGTCACTCAGCACTCTACAGTCACACTGCACTCTACAGTAACTCAGCACTCTGTAGTCACTCAGCACTCGGCAGTCACACTACAGTCATACTGCACTCTACAGTCACTCAGAACTCTACAGTCCCACTGCACTCTACAGTCACTCAACAGTCACACAGCACTCTGCAGTCACACTACAGTCACACTGCACTCTACAGTCACAGAGCACTCTACAGTCACAGAGCACTCTGCAGTCACACTACAGTCATACTGCACTCTACAGTCACTCAGAACTCTACAGTCACAAAGCACTCTACAGTCACTCAGCACTCTACAGCCACAGTGCACTCTGCAGTCACTCAACAGTCACACTGCACTCTGCAGTCACTCAACAGTCACACTGCACTCTACAGTAACTCAGCACTCTGGAGTCACACTACAGTCATACTGCACTCTACAGTCACTCAGAACTCTACAGTCCCACTGCACTCTACAGTCACTCAACAGTCACACAGCACTCTGCAGTCACACTGCACTCTGCAGTAACACAGCACTCTGCAGTCACACTGCACTCTGCAGTCACGCAGCACTCTGCAGTCACGCAGCACTCTGCAGTCACACTGCACTCTATAGTCATACTACACTCTACAGTCACGCAGCACTCTGCAGTCACACTGCACTCTATAGTCATACTACACTCTACAGTCACGCAGCACTCTGCAGTCACACTACACTCTACAGTCAAGCAGCACTGTACAGTCACATAGCACTCTGCAGTCACACTACCGTCACACTGCACTCTACAGTCAAACTGCACTCTACAGTCACTCTGCACTCTACAGTCACGCAGCACTCTACAGTCACACAGCACTCTTCAATCACACAGCACTCTGCAATCACACAGCACTCAATAATCACACAGCACTCTGAAGTCACACAGCACTCTATAGTCACACAGAACACTGCAGTCACACAGCACTCAATAGTCACACAGCACTCTGAAGTCACACAGCAATCAATAGTCACAGAGCACTCTGCAGTCACACAGCACTCTGCAGTCACACAGCACTCTGCAGTCACACAGCACTCTGCAGTCACACAGCACTCTGCAGTCACACAGCAATCTAAAGTCACACAGCACTCTGCAGTCACTCAGCACTCTGTAGTCACACAGATCTCTGCAGTCACACAGCACTCTGCAGTCTCTCAGCACTCTATAGTCACACAGCACTCTACAGTCTTTCAGCACTCTACAGTTCCACTGCACTCTACAGTTCCGCTGCACTCTACAGTCACACAGCATTCTACAGTCCCACTGCTCTCTACAGTCACACAGCACTCTACAGTCACTCAGCACTCTACAGTCACAAATCACTCTACAGTCACACAGCACTCTACAGTAACTCAGCACTCCATAGTCACACAGCACTCAATAGA